GCAAGGACCTGCAACCATCACATACCAAAGATTTCCCTGACTGGCAGAATCAGAAGGGGACTGTGAGTTGGAAAGGAGCCTTGAGATGGCGCTAAGCTTGGCTTAGCTTGAACCTGCTCTTCTGGAGGCTGAAGTTTGACGTGTGCCTCTGCAACAGCAAATAAACCTCGACAATGGGCAGAGACTCTGACTTGCCTGTTCTCTTTATTCCTAAGGCCGAGTGGCCTTGAAGAAGGAAAGGCTTTGCTTAAGAGAGAAGGCAATGCCTCAGGGATCCTGGGGGCTGTGGAGATGTGAGGTGCAGCTCTACCTTGAGCTCACAGGCAGAAGTTGACCTGTCCCTTCAAGAGCTCAGTTGCAGACCCTGAAAGTCCTGAGCGGACAGAGCAGGCCTCCAGAAGGTCTTCCTTTGGTCAAGCTGATTTGCTTTGATTTGCTCTGGCTGGCTGGACAGTAAAGCTTCTAGACCAATGTCGTGGCTTTCCAGGGCTCCCACACAGGTGGGCTTTGGAGAAGTTTCTAGTTTGGCTGATTGGCTTTGCTTAGAAAGAACGAGCTCCCTCAGAGAGACACAGGCAAGAGACTCTGAATGGATCAGCCTGGCCAGAACAATATTCCCAGCCCCTCCAGACATAGGAGCTTACGGAGAGAGGCTGTGACCTGAGTCCAGTTGGGCATTGCACAACTCAAAGGTCCTCTGCAGATACCAAAGCTTTGGCAATAGAATGCAAGTCCCTGGAATTGGACAGAGCTGGCATGCTTCTCTCTGAGTATCCAGGGCACAGGATCTAAGGCAGCAAGCAGGTCGAGCAGTGCTGCTGCCACTGTCCAGGTGGACTGGCTCCCTGTGCACTGGGTATGCTTTTGCTGTGCCTTGTGTGCCGTGAGCAGAGTCAGGAAGGCACAGGAGATGAAAGCTCCCTCTGATCTCCTGAGGCTGTGTGTGAAGCCAGTGCTGCTGCTGGGTGGGAACAATGGGCCCAGTGAAACAGTGGATGCAGAGGAGATGGTGTGTGCCCCATGCATGTCACGACCTGCCACGACCCGCGGGGAAAAGGGAATGGGGACACAGCACTGCAATTAGGTTCGGGACACAGTTGAGGTGAAGGAAGCAATGCCAACTTTATTAGAACAAGCAGGGATTTATATAGGGTTGGAACAGGGGCTGGACTCAGGATAGGGGAGGAGTAAAGGATTGACAACTCAGGGACTCTTGGGATAGGGCAATGGGGTAGAGATGGGCGGAGTCTGGGTGTCTCTAGGAGAATGGGCCAATAGGAGCTACCTCTGTACTGCACCAAACAGTAACCAATCACAGGCAGAGGAGCGGGAAAACAGGGGAGAACAACAGGTTTGGGCGGGAAAACTGTGAGGGAAGAAGGAGACAATATGGAGGATATGATTTTTAAAACAACAAGCTGGGGTACATACAACGCTATAACAGTACAACAATAAACTGGGGAAAACTGGGGGAAAAACTGTCAGTCCAATGGTTGTCACATCCGGTAAATAAACGTCTTTTCTAGTGTACTAGTGTCCATTCCGGTGTAGATTAGTCCTTTCAGGGGTCATAGATCTGACTCCATGCCTGGTATTTCTGCCAGTCGCTTTCTTCTTCCCCAACATCTCCCCCTACTTTGTTTGATTGAGCTGCAGCAATGTTGGCGGTTACCGTGGAGATCAGCATCTTACGTAAACATATAATAAGACAAGGTAAGACAGTGCACAATGAAATAATACTGAAAAGGGATAACAGACATAAAATAAAAATTTTCCGAGACCAATTGGGTAAATTTGGAAGTTTCAGCCAATCGAAGAGGTCCTCGAGCTCTTCATCTTTTGATTGGTGAATTTCTCGGACCAGGCCTTTTAGCTGGTTAATGCTTTCATGGATGGATTCCGCATGATCCGAGAAATTCATACAACACATTCCCTCAAACTCCTGGCACCCGTGAC